TAATCAAGCTAGTTTAAGAACTGAATTGGAAATAATATTGCAAGTTTGGTTAAAGCTATAAAAAGCTATAATCACACTTATACACCTAGTTATTTGCCAAACTTGGCACACAAGGTGCCAGCTGAACAAATGCACAGTAGGAAAAGAATACTAAAACAAGGAGGGAGCCAAAGCTAATTGAAAAGAAAAATAAAGTAATTTTACATTATACCTTGAAGTATGGTGATAACTTCATGGCAGACACACTGTTAATGTGCTCCTTGACCTTGTTGAAGAGATCATCCCAACCACGAATCAAATGACATTTGTAGTGATAGTTAACCAAATCCAGTTCGTAAGTGTTCCACACTTCTCTTATCTTTAAGAAAAAAAGAAGTCAGATTATGAGCTCCTGTTAGTAATTTTAATTCAATTACATTTACTTCATTCTATAGTATAGAAATGTAGTTACATGAGCTGGATTCTTATCTTTTTACAGAGCACATGAATCTGCAGGTCATGGATTGCTGTGAATCATATGGTGGAAGATTTCATAATTATGTCTTGTGGGTCAGAGTGAAAGTTATTGGAACTCATAAAATGAAATTAGAGAAGGCAGTTTCCAGTCTTCTACTTAGAAGTTTTATAATAGTAACATACTAGCTATGTATTTTACTTGACTTATCTTTAAGTTTAAGTTACAGTACCTTCAGTAAACTTGCAAAGCTTTTAACGAAACCCTATAGGTTTAGGGGTTTTATGTTGTGTCAGTTTTTGTGTTTAATTTACTCAGTTATTTAGAACTAAAAGTGTATGGTGAAGATCTAAAGCATTTCACTTTCACCATCCTGGGTATCCAAAATCCAACTTGTTACATAGCTGTCAGCAAATTAATTTACACCTCTAAAACCTCTCCTGCACAACAGGTCTAGTGTATGTAATGATAGATACTAGCCTGTTTCAAGAACGCCTCCAAAGCCATCTCTCCCTGAGCCACAAGAAGTACATCTTTGACAATTGTTTCATTCTTCTGCAAGTCAACATCCCAGATCTGTCCCAGGGTTAGTTCAGAGACAGCCCAGTTCACATGAAGTTTCTTCATCAGCTGCTTCCAGTGACGATCTTTAAGAGCCTCAGATTTCAGTTCAATCACCAACATGTTTATCTAGAATGCGAGACAGCACATATTAAGTTAATGGATGCACTTAATTTTTTTAATTAGTTATCAAGGGTAAGTACAGCTTACCTTCATGTAACCCTTCAGAAGCCTCAGAACGTATTCATAGGAGGCATACTGCCGCAAACGAGCAGGGAAGTTTTTCAACTGGTTCAGTAAGCCATCCAAATTTTGTCGAAGCTGTCAATAAAATACAGAAGCCAAGAAAGAATTCATCTTCCAACGACATTATCATAAACACAATCACTCTAGTAAACTGGATATTACAACAGTTATCAGTTTTACTTACAGTTTGTCATCTTAACAATTTTATTCAACTGTTCTTTAAGAATGGGAGAATCACCCTTAGGCTACGTCCTCACTACGGGGGGGGGGGGTTGATTTAAGATACGCAAATTCAGCTACGCGAATAGCGTAGCTGAATTCGACGTAATGGAGCCGACTTACCCCGCTGTGAGGACGGCGGCAAATCGACCTCCACGGCTCCCCCGTCGACGGCGCTTACTCCTACCTCTTACAAGCGTCGATTCGGGGATTGATTGTCGATCCCCGAGAGATCGATTTCTACCCGCCGATTCAGGTGGGTAGCGTAGACGTAGCCTTAGATAATATTGATCATGCTTTCCTATGCTGCATATATTTAATTTTGCCAACAATAAATATATCTGTATACAAGGCAGGCAAACCAAATACTAGAAGTATGAAAACATTCAATTGCCCCTCAAAACCTCATCATTCCAACAGATTCTCCAGGCTTTTGTTGATATATTCCACCTCAGCACATTATATGGAGTCAACAATACTGCTTTAAGCTTAATTTGTGACTGTTGGTACAATACTAGTTTTCTCTATCCCTTGATCATTGGAGTAGCACAGCATGAAGTAATTTTACAACTAGATCACAGTGGTCACGAAATTGTGACATTCTTCCTTACAGATAAGAGGTAGAAGCCTTTGTGACGGGTTGGATCACAGAAACCCCCTTGGGGCGGCCAACTGATGTGCCAAGACTACTTCTGCCCCTGCTAGCTTGGGACTCCAGCACCCTATCTTGTTGAGCCAGACACGGCAGTCTGCTCCAACACAGACAGGGTGCTGGAGTCCCAAGCTGGCAGGGAAAGCAGGGGCAGAAGTAGTCTTGGCACATCAGTTGGCCACCCCAAGGGGGTTTCTGTGATCCAACCCGTCACAGTGGCGTAGTCGGCAGGATCTGTGCACAGCTGATTGCTTTGAGATACTGGTAGTGATTTTAAATGAGTTTTAAGTGTGGTGGCTGGAGAACAGACAAAGTAGTTACTGGTTTGTTATTTTCTGTTTGCTTATTTCGGGTAAGGGAAACAGGGACAGAAAAGGAAGCAAAATAAGTAAGAGTGAAGATCAGAAGAAGCTAGAACTACACAAGTTGCAAATTGCCCAGAAAGGCTAAACACTGGGCGCTGGGAAAGTCTCTGTTAACTAAGAAGCCCTTGAGCTGAGTGCATCTCAGTTTCAGTGAACTGCAGATGGGTGTGGCCCAACCTCGGTGTCTGTGCTGAAGCGGACTAGAGTGCCTAACTTAGCAAGACAGGAGTGGAGGGGTGCCTGTTCTGGCAGGAGGGGGTTCTCTGTGGTATCCCAGCTCATCGAGTGACTGTCTCAAGGGAAGACATATGGAAACTGATGTGCAATTTGCCCAGACATATGGAAACTGATGTGCAAGGCTGCCCTGGAAAAAGAAAAGGCTGCCCACCAGCAAACCCTGGACTTAAAAGACAAAGCATATTGAGACCCAGAAGCACGAACTGGCTGTAATGGAGTGGAAGAGGTGCACAGAGACATGTATCCTGGAGCTGGAAGTTGGGGTCCTGGTGACTGCTGCAGTGGGAACAGACCCCAAAGGACTCTCTAGCTGGAAGCAAGCGCAACCTGAGTGAAAGGGGGGGAGGATTTTTCTGGCCAGTGAAAGATCTGTCATAGCTGGTAGCTGTGAGCCCACAGCTGGATCAGGGTCTCTTTCCCTTTCAGGGGACACAGGAGTGTCTGCCCCAGAGGGGAGCCCAAAAACAAATTTTAGGTATACTGCCTCCGCCATGGTCAGTGTCCAAGTCTCTGGCAGTAAGTTCAGGAGGAGGGTGTGACGTTGCACTCTGTAAGATTTTATGAAAGTATGCTGATGAGTGTGAATATAATGTAACTAAAATATGCTTCATGCAAAAGGTCTCTTGTAAATTGTCATTACAAAACTTGTAATCTCCTGAGTGTGTAAATGTATTTGTATAAATGTATCACTTGTATCTGAAACTAGAAATATGAAATATAACTCTGAGGTCCTATTGTAGTTATGCAAAGTGTGGGCCATTAATGGTGGTTTGGAATCTTAATGCTCCCATTAACCAGGACAATTGACCGTAGATGGCTCTGTTTTACTTGTAAGTCTTCCTGTATACATGTGTGCTGGCAAGTGGCTAATGACGTCTTACAGTGACATGTGATCATGTCACCTGAACTGGAATCCATCTTTAACCTGGTGCATTTCCATTGAAAAGGAGGGGTGGGAACCCAGAGGGACAAAGGATTCCCGCCTTATGCAAAAGCTATACAAGTGGATGGAACAGAACAAATTAGACGGCCATCATGAGAAATCCCCTAACTACCACCTGAGCTGGAACAAGGGCTGTACCAGGGGAAAGGATTTTGCCCAGACTAGGAAGGCATCCAGTCTGTGAAAGAAACTTATTGAAACATCTCTGAGGGTGAGATTTTATCTGTATTTAGTTTTATTACTTAGACTTGTATGTTTTGTTTTATTTTGCTTGGTAATTCACTTTGTTCTGTCTGTTACTACTTGGAACCACTTAAATTCTACTTTCTGTATTTAATAAAATCACTTTTTACTTATTAACCCAGAGTATGCATTAATACCTGGGGGGAGGGGGCAAACAGCTGTGCATACCTCTCTATCAGTGTTATAGAGGGCAAAAAATTGATGAGTTTACCCTGTATAAGCTTTATACAGGGTAAAACGGATTTATTTGGGGTTTGGACCCCATTGGGAGTTGGGCATCTGAGTGTTAAAGACAGGAACACTTCTTAAGTTGCTTTCAATTAAGTCTGCAGCTTTGGGGCACGTGGTTCAGACCCTGGGTCTGTGTTGGAGCAGACGGGCGTGTCTGGCTCAACAAGACAGGGTGCTGTGGTCCCGAGCTGGCAGGGAAAGCAGGGGCAGAAGTCTTGGCACATCAGATGGCCGCCCCCAGGGGATTTCTGTGAACCAACCCGTCACAGCCTCGTTTCAGGTTTATGTATCCAAGAAGCATCAGCTTGGACAATAGCTTTTCATCAGTGAAGCTGGACAAGTGTTTGAGAAAAGTGCTAATTTAGATCAACTTAATTTCAAGAAACAGATATAGCATCAGTTCTTGTCCTCTGCAGATGTAGCCTATAATTAAATATATTTAAGGTTGTGCAGTTTCTGCAATCCTGATAATTTTTCAGGTTTTGTTTTGTAAGCCTTACCCTGTTGAAGCTTCAGTTAAGAGGAAAAGTTATTAGTGCTGCAAGTTAGATTAAGATAGAGGCTGCATTCTCAGTTATGAATTCTATTTTTCATATGCCAAAAAGACCCAGATACATAAGCACCATGCCATATATTCTGGCTCATTTTCAAGTTGTTAGAACATTTAAATGTATTTTTACCACGAAGGCCAAGAGTCGAATAATATAGCTATAGTTATGATTTCTATATACGGAATAAAAAAGGTACCTTGCGAGGTTGTACTGAAACCCATGGCTGCTCCTTCATCTGATCAATCTGGTCCCAGACCTTGGAAAGCTCAGACCAAACTCCTTGGAGGTCTTGTAACTCTTCTAAAGCTACCTACAGTACAAAGGGATACATCAAACTTTGGTCAGTTATACAGAAAGGACAGATATTTATTATCATTGAGTTAGACAGAACTTGTTAAACAAATCATTGGGATAGGAACTTGGTCAGGGTACTGGTAATTGGACAGAGACTTGACCCTAGCTTGCCTAGCGCATCTCTGGTGGCCCAAAAGGAGTTCTCATATGTTGACTGCTCAGTAGCTTAAATTAAGGCTTGTCTAAATGGAAAGTTACTGCCCAGCATGCAAGAGTGAACGCCTACAGTATATCAAACTTGCCTTGCAGTAACGTCTCATGTGGACGCTGCTACAGTGCAGTTGAAGTCCTGGACTGTGGCTTAGAACAGCATATCTCAAACTGGGGCCCGTGGACCCTGGGGGACCCTGAGGGTACTCCAGAGGGTCCACGGGCCCCTCTGATCAACTTAACTTCTCCCCATCCCTCCCAGCACCTGCACACTGGGGAACAGCGCTATCTCCTGGAGGCAAATTGGGGAGATTTTAGGCACTAAAAGTCCGGCGGCACAGCGGGGCTAAGGCAGACTCCCTGACTCCCCTGGCTCCACTCCGCTCCCTGTGGCCCCGGGGGGAGTAGAAGAGGAGCAAGGGGTCTCCACGTGTTGCCCCGGCCCTGAGCGCCGAGTCTGCAGCTCCCATTGGCCGGGAACTCCAGCCAATAGGAGCTGCGGGCAGGGGCAGCGCAGAGAGACCCCCTGACCCTTCCGCCTAGGAACCACTGCCAGAGAGATATACTGGTCGCTTTCGGGAGCTGCCTGAGGTACGCACCACCCAGCCGGAACCTGCACCCCAACCTCCTGCCCCAGCTACAGAACCTGCACTCCCTCCCAGAGCCCGCATCCCGTACCCCCTCCTGCACCCAAACTCCCTCCCAGAACCCGCAGCCCCTCCTGCCCCCCAACCCTCTGCCCCAGCCTGGTGAAAGTGAGTGAGGGTGGGGGAGAGTGAGTGACAGAGGGTGGGGGAATGGAGGGGGCAGGGGTGGAGTGGGGGGGCAGGGCCTGTGGCTGAGCGGTGGGGTCCTTGAATTTCTGCCCCCTCCCCAATCAAAATGGGGTCCTCGCATCGCTGAAGTTTGAGAACCACTGACTTAGAAGCTACTTGTCATGCAGACAAGCCCTTAGGCCTGGTCTACACTAACCCCCCAATTCGAACTAAGGTATGCAACTTCAGCTACATGAATAACATAGCTGAAGTCGACGTACCTTAGTTCGAACTTACCACGGTCCAGACACGGCAGGCAGGCTCCCCCGTCGACTCCGCGTACTGCTCTCGCCGAGCAGAATTACCGGAGTCGACGGCGAGCACTTCTGGGTTCGATTTATTGCGTCCAGACAAGACGCGATAAATCGAACCCGGAAGTTCGATTGCCAGCCGCCGAACTACCGCGTAAGTGTAGCCAAGCCCTTAGTCTCATCTCTAGTTAGTTTAATGGCCAGATTTCTACATCTTATAAAGCTGCCCTCAAGTGTCTGTGGTTGCTGTCTCAGTGGAAAACCCAAGGGCTGAATGGGTATTGAGACTGAGTAACTCACCCCTAGGGCTGGACCATCCCAGTTAAGGATAGGGCACAGTGATAGGGCAGCATGAAGGGAGAACCATTGACTGCTATGCCTTCTCTATGAATGAATTGAAGGACTTCTGCCTACAAGAAGTCATCTGTCCAGAACCATTTACAAGCACCAAATTCATGGATTTTTTAAAAACAGTTTGTACCTGCACACGTTCTTCACTGCCACTGAGTAGTC